TGGTAGTTTGTGCCACACAAATGAACACTTGATTAATCACTTCCCATTAGTCTTGTAGCTGGGTGGTGCAGTGGATAGAGCACCGGGCTTGGAGTCAGGAAGACTCATCTTCTTGAGTTCAAATCTGGCCCCAGACACTCACTAGCTGTGTGACCTCGAGCAAGTCACTTAACCCTGTTTGCCTCAGTTTCTTCATCTGTCAAATGAGTTGGAGAAGGAAATGGCAAACCACTCCAGTATCCTTGCCAGGAAAACCCCAAATGGGGTTATAAAGAATAGGATGAGATGGAAATGACTGAAAAACAGGGTTAAGGGAGATGAGTAAAGAAAAATGAGGTAAGTGGGACTTTAGCTGACACTTGAAGGAAGCTAGAAAATGAGAAGGAAGAACATTCCAGGAATAGGGGACAGCTCATATAAAGGCTTGGGGTCAGGAGATTATTGTCATTATTTTACTCCTCCCGTTTCCCCACTGAGCCATCTGAACTTGTTGATACCAAGTCCAACACTCTTGCAACTCACATTTGTGTAGTGTTTTAAGACTGATAAAATGCTTTCCTAATGACATCATTGTATTCTTCCCTCTCTTTTAAAAATACAGATGGGGCAACTGAGACTTATAGGGGTTAAATGATTCCGGGTTATTCAACTGGTAGGTGTCAAAGCTGAGATTGTTGCTTTGATGGAGCTAGGATTTTATTGGTGTGGGCATCCTGCAATGATCCCAGCACCTTCTCATCTGCTGTGATTCCTGTTTGTTTCCATAGATCCTTCCAAAGAGGATCTACGCGGTTCACTGGGAGCTTTCCTCTGGTTCTCAGGGGTGACCGTGTCCAGGACCAATACCAGGCTGGCCATCTGTTGCCTTCTTCTGGCCACGTGACTGGTTCCCCTCCTTTTTTCAGTTATGCTCATCCTCGGTGTCCTTTTTTGCCACTTCTCTTTGATGGCCACATCATCGATGGTAGCATGTTGCTGCCTACGCCCACCCACCAGGCCTCTTTTTTTTTTTTTTGCCCTCTGAGTTGCTTGTTAATTTTGAGTCTTACGAGTTTGCGATGTTCTATGAGTCACGACCATGTCCTGTCATCACTGTACTCAGAATTTTAGAGCTGGCTCTAGAGCAAGGGATCTCAGCTCTGTGTGTGTGTGTGTGTGTGCGCGCGTGCATGCGCCTGTGCATGCATGCGCTGGATGACCCCTTTGCCAACATGGAGAAGCCTGTAGACTCTTTTTCAGAATAATGTTTTCACATGCATAAAATAAAATATGGAGTGACCTAAGTCTCAGTGCCCTTTTATGCAATTCAGGCTGTTGAAACTTAGGACTTTCGGCACACTCTTGTAGGTAGCATTACAAAGGAAACCAGTTATGTTGAAAAGCAGTTATCAAAACATCTTTAAAAAGGAACAACAATCAAATTCACAGACCTGAGATTAACATTCCTGATCTAGAGGTTCTAGATGGTAGTGATGGGTCAGGAGAGGGTCCAGGAATGAGAAATCCCTGAAATTCTATCCCTCAGACTATGAAAATTGACCCAGGCTGCACATTAGACCTTCTTCTGTCTTGCCTGCGGTTCCACTGCATCCGGCTTTTCTCTCTCCCCAGTCTCCAGCCTAGCAGCATCTGTACATCTTCCCCCTCCCCCCACTGAACTGGGCACATGTGATTGAATAACTGATATTTCTATAGAACGTTCTAGTTTTCAGAGTACTTTAAATATAAAAGTAAATCTATAAATATTTAATTATCTCACGTGACCCTCTAAACAACCCCGTAGGAGTTGTCAGTATTCTCTCCTTTACCAAATGAAGAAATTGCAGCTCCAGGATGTCTGGTGACTTGCTCAAGGTCACACACAAGGTTGGTATCAGAGCTGGGTTTCAGTCCCAGTCTTCTGCCTTCAGACCCAGGGCCCTTTCCGTGACAGCTCTGCTGCCTCTGTCAATGAGCCTTCACTATGGCAACTTCAAGAAGGATGTGAAAGTCCAGCCAGCAGAGTCATTTTTGCTGGGCAATTCCCACTGTGCCTGCCACATATTGTAGACATTTTGATAGGTGAAGTTAGGTTAGAAATGACAAAGGCAGCCTTGGAGGAAAAGAGAAACCACCAAGGCAGTGTATGCATCCTGAGGAAAGGGGAATGAATGCCCGTATGCTTGGCTAACGACAAAGAGGAGGCTGCAGTGTTATGGGGCTAATGGTATGTTTGTATGTCGGTTCTCAGGTCCTTTTTTTTAAAGCTATCCAAAATTAAATTAAATTAAAATTAAAATTAAAAAAAGTTTTAATTTAAGAAAAAAACAACAGTCCACTGAAGACTTAGAAGAGAGACTTTGAAAGATCTTTATTTAAATAGGAAAAATTTCTCCCCCGCTTCCCCCCCCATATTTGCTAAAGCATGTGTGTGCCTGTCCTGTGCTCAAAAAGCCTCAGTGGTTCCCTTCAGCTTCTAGGATGAAAAATAAAAGCAAACCAAACTCCTTTGTCTGACATTTAAATCTCTTCACAATCTAGCTTTGACTTATCTTTCCATACTGATTTCATATTATCTCTCCCCCACCCCCCACTGTAATCTCTGTTTTAGACAAATTGGCCTATTAAATGTTCTTTTTTTGTGGCATTCCATTTCTTGACTTGGTGATGAGACATAGGCTGTTTTCCAAGCATGCAATTCTGTCTCCATCTTTTGAAATTGCTAGCCTTCTTCAAGGCTCAGCTCAAGTCCTGAGTCCTTTCCTACTTCCTCAGTTATTAATGACCCATCTCATTATTTAATATTTAGTTTATATATAGTTTGTATCTATTTATCCATCTACATGTCATTTTCCCACAGAAGAATGTAGGCTCCTTGTGGTCAGGGACAACTGTTGTTTTTGTCTTTCTATCCACAGAACCCTTCACACACTAAGCACTTAAGTGCTTATTTCTTTCCTTGTTCTCCAGCACCTAGAACAGGGCATTAGTATGTAGTAGGTCTTTAATAAATGATTGTTAAATTGTTGAATTTAATAACTGTCAGCCTCACCAGCCTCTGGATTGACTCTAAGGGTGGGGAATACCCAAAGTAGGGATGGCGGGATTAGGTGTGGTAGAGGGCATTATCTCCCCACTATGGACTTTATATGGAACAGCCAACAGAGCTCTTTCAGAGGCACTGGGTTAGCCTAGAATAGTGATGTCAAACTCAAATAGAAACCAGGGCCACTAAACTGGTTCCTGTGGACAGCATATTGACTTAGAAAACCACATATTAACAGTATCTGTCTTTTACTGTATTTTTATTTACTTTGTTAAATATTTCCCAATTACATTTTAATGGGGGAGGGGGAGCCTATGTTTGATATCTCTAGTCTAGGCAACAGGAAGAATTTAAGGGTGATGAAAACTGCTGATGGGTAACTGAGGGAGAATAGGGAAACTACTTCCTTAATGACCTTTAAAGAAAGGAAAGTGATGGTTATACTACTTTAGGTGCTTCTGGCTCTTCCTGGAGATAAGGGGCTATTGATATGACCCCTTGATCCAGAATTCTATGATAAGTTAAAAAAAACACAATAGTTCCTAGGCACATACCCCAGACAAGTGTTTATTGGAACAGGAATAGCCTCCCAGGGTGTTTACACTATGAATTTCCCACATCCTTTTTTCTATATCCCATCAATGTCACCAGAACACAGCTGTTGGACTGTTGAGTACAAGAAAAGGCTGTCCACTGTGATACAGCTTGAGCGGAAGGAAGGGTCCCAGGTTTCTTGAGGATGAGCAGGAATGGGGAGAAAATTCCAGCTGAAAAGGGCTTCTCCCAAACAGTCAACCAACAAACCACAGACACCACTGAAGGCAAAATATTTATCTGAGGCAAAGCATTTTTTCATGGCATCTGGTGCTAGAAAGCAGACAGTAATCTAGGTGCATAAAATATGACCAAAAGAAATCTTGATCCTGGGCTTCAATTAATATTTTATGTAATTCTTAATTATTGGAGGGCCCAACCAATCCTTTAGTCAATTAAGAAACATTTATTGAGCTCCCACTAGGGCCATATGTATGCACTGTGCTAGGCTCCGGAGGTACAAAGTCAGAAATGAAAGTCGATTCCCTTAAAGAGCTTACATTTTATCAAGGGTAACAGCCTACCATCCCTAACTCTCTCAACCCCTCCCCCAATTTCCTTGTATTTAATTTATGTATCTGCCATATACTTTCCTATGCACATGTTGTCTGCCCCCAACTCAAGTCTCTCCCTGCCCTAATCCATCCTCTACCCAGTTGCCAAAGTAATATTCCTAAAGCACAGATCAGACCTATGTCACTCTCTGGCTCACTAACCTACTATGGATCCCTACTGCCTCTTACTGTGAACATGAATTTCTATTTTGTACCTGGCTCCAATCTTGCTTACTTCACACACTCCACTATAGTCCAACACTCCACTATGGTCCAAAGAAACTGGCCTTCTTTCTGTTGCTCACACTGGCCATTTCATCTCTACCTCTGTGTCTCTGCATGGCTCTGCCCTCCCACCCCCTCGCCCTAGAATGTATTCCCTGAGATCTGCTTTTTAGATTCCCTGGCTTTCCTTCAAGATATGGTTCAAGTGACTCCTCTTGCCATGAAGTCTTTTCAGACATCCCCAGCTCCTAGTGCTTCCTGTACAAAATTAACTTGCATTAAATTTGGGCAAATTTTGTGTCTATTTATATATGTGTACATCAACCAATCCACAAGTACTTACTTATTAAGAACCTACTATGTGCTAGGAACTGTTCCAAGTGTTAGTGATATAAAAACAAAAACCAAACAGTCCCCTCCCTTACATTCTATTGGGGGCAGACAACATGTGCATAGGAAAGTAACAGATGTCAAGATTCAGAGAAAATAAAGAGTTCATCTGAGGGTCTAGGAGGGTCACTTTTGGATGGGCATGTTCCATAGCTAAGTGTCCCATTGGCCAGAGTTCTCTAAGTTCCAGCTCCCATCTCTTTATCTTCCAGAGTTTCTGGAGGAGAGCTCTTTGATTTCCTGGCACAGAAAGAGTCTTTGAGTGAGGAAGAAGCAACCAGTTTCATTAAGCAAATCCTGGAAGGTGTTAACTACCTGCATGCCAAAAAATTGCTCACTTTGACCTCAAGGTAAGTGAAAGAGATGGGGGGAAATTTGCTACGTTGACATTTATGTAATCAATGTTAAGAGTTGGAAAAGATAAAAAAAAAAGAGTTGGAAAAGATCTAAGAGCCCACATAATTCAGCCCCTCCATTTTATTATTTTATTTTAAGGTTTTATCAATGCCCTTCATTTTTCATAGGATAAGAGATTTAGACCTGGAAGGGCCCTAATTCAGTCCAACTCCAAACCTCATTTTACAGATGAGGAAACCGAAGCCTGGAAAGGTGGGAGGAGATGGCTTACCCAAGGTGTTTCACTATAGGTTTCCTCTGTACCCTTAATGTAGCTGTGTAGGATACTATAGGAAAATTTCCATATAAACTCTGAACAAGCCATTTTGCAATAAGCCAGTAGGTTTAGATAGTGGAGAGCTAACCTTAATTAGCAAAATTCACACCATGGATGAAGGGTTGCAAAAGACTGGCTGGTTCTCTGGGTCCTTAGTTCTGTCTCTATTGCTTCTTTCCAAAGGATGTGAATCCAGCAGCTATACTATCTGCTACCCCACGTAAAATTTTAAATAGGGGTAATATATTCAGATATAAAAAAGCTCATTCTATAACCAAAGGTCTCCAGAAATGAATGAATGAATGATGAATGAATGAATGAATGAAAAAAATTAGATACTTAACTCATGCCAGTCACTCTGCTAAGCCCTAGGCTTACAGATAAAAAAGTAAGCTAGTCCCTGTCCTCAAGGAGCTTACTTTCTAATGGGAAGAGGGTGTACAATATACATGTATATACACATACACACACACACACACATATGTGTGTGTATATATATATCATATGTGTATATATATATATATATATCTCAAATATATGTATAACAATACATATATATGCATATATGTGTGTGTGTACACGTAAGAGTCTAACCAGAGAAGAGTGTCTTGAGAGTCAACAGGGATGTTGAGTTGATCCATAGGGCTGCCCATTGGCATGCTCTTTCCAGAAATAATGGTAAATATGGCAATATTGATTGATTTAATTACTGACCCCAGAACAAGAAAAGGGGAGGGGTGACACTGCAGCAGTGGGACAGAACCATAAAACAGGAGTGTGGCAGAAGAGAAGAGCTAAGCATTGTTAGTTAAGCCTTAAAATTAAGCCTTTCCTGAATTGGCTCAGCAGTGCAGGGCCTGAGATTTATGTGTGAAATCATAGAATGTTAGGGCTGGAAGGTACCTTAGAGATTACTTGATCCAGCCTCCCATTTCACTGATGAAGAAAGAGGAATCCAAAGAAATTAAATGATTTGGCCAAAGCAGGGTTGAGAATAAACCCAGGTCTCTGGCCACTTCTTTTTCTGCTTGTTCTAGGTGACCAGTCATAAACCACCTCATGGTCAGACCACTTTTGCCTCTGCCAATTGTTTATAAAGCCTTTGGAAGTCCTCAGAAGATGTTTTAGGAGGTTTTATAGAGTACAATTCATAAGATCATAGATTTAGATCTGGATGGTACCTTAGAGATCCTCTAGTCTAACCCTTTATTTTATAGATGAGAAAACTGAGACCCAGAGATGTAACACAATTTTCCCAGAATCCTACAGGTATTTAGTGGCAGAAGCAGGATTCAATCTCAGGTCCTCTGAATCCAAATCAAGCATTCTTTCCACTGTTCCACACTTCATGACAGAATGGTGTCTCCTAGAGAATCAATAGATTGAACAGACCGCTGAACCCAATGCAATAATAAGCGCAGGGAATAAATTACCTGGATTTGACCAGCCTCTGCCTTTCTGGTGAATACTATGCACAATCAACATGTTTTTATGTCTGTGCTGGCTCCAAGATGCATACCTTCAAACAGGCTCCTTTTGTCATTCCTCCAGCAGAGCAACTTGGCATGGGTCAGAATAAAGATTGCATGACATCAGACCTAGGCAGCCGCCAAAAAGTATGTTATTGGTTAAACCTACATTTTACTCATTTTTATCTCCCAGAAGCTACTTTATTTGCATAAATGAAAGCACCTTTTCCCCACCCTAGAAGTGAATGAAAGGAAAGTGTTTGTTTAGGAGTTTTGGCCCCTGATCGAGTAGAAAAACAACCCTGTTATAGCTTGTTAGATGAGCCAGTGGATTTTACAGTCCTGTACAGCTGCTCTGTACAGGACTGGTCACATAGTAGGTGCTCAATACTTGTTGATTGCTGGGAGAAAGCCCACTCTGGGTTGAATGTGGTTTGTGAGCTCACCTTTCCACCTGGTCATCACCACCACCACCACCACCACCACCACCGAGGTTTAACCTAGATATATCTGAAGAGTAAGGAAGCTAGCATCTTCTCAAAGATGTTCACTTAGGAATTGTATGGGCAGCAGAACTTTCTAGCTCCCCACCTTGGGAAGAGTCCCTTAGGTCATGACGTTGACCTTCCACAGAGAGAAGAATGGTAGGAATTTAAAAAGATTGTGAAGTCATGTGGTTGACCAAAGGGCAAATTGTAGTAGGCATAAGTACCTCCCAGCTGAAACCTTCTACTCACAGATGAAGTATACCTAGAAGAGTTAGTTTGTAGGTGAGAGGTTTCTTCTATAGGCAGAGTAATAAGCAGGAATTTTTGTGCCTGGGGGAAATCAGTTGAAGAGGTAGGGTGGTGGGCCCTAGGAGAGAGGCATCATTGTGTGAGACACTAGAAGTAGTAGTCTAGGGCTGGGTGAAGGAGTACAGTTGGCTTCATTTCATAGGGAAAGAAGTGTGTCCCATCTGGAAGACAGTACCTTAGGAAAAAGCACCATTGGCCCCATCCTAGTTAAGGCTGTGTCTGTAGTACAACTTCACATTATATGTTGATCATGGTCAGACATACCTTGGCATTTTTCTCCTTCACTTTTCTACCTTGCCTATTCTTAGTTCTCTTTTTATTAAATGTTCATATGTAGAAACTCCCAATGTATAGAACATCTCTTCCTAGAGCAGTCTTGCCCAAATATAAGAACATTGAAGCCTATTCAGAAACATTAGTCGTATTCAGATTTGAAATAAGCAGAATTACCTGTTTTCCATTAACTTGCAGAATCTTCAGAACAGAAATTCTCAAAGTTTGGATGTTTCTCCAGCACCTTGGTATGGGCTCTTAGTTTCATTTATTTTGTTAGCACAGATCACAGGCAGCCTGACTTTTGTCTTTCGGAGGTTATTAGTACTCCCATAAATGTTGAAAGTCCCTAAATACTGATCAGTTCAATTCAAAAAGCATTTATTGAGCACCTGCTATGTGCCAGATGTTGTGATAAGCAGGGATAAGAAGACAAAGAAAATGAAGTAGACTCAGCCCTTGAGGACTTTCTATCCTACCAAGGGTAGGTGACATCCAAGCTCAAGAAAAACTGAGTTGACTTTTCCATGATGTGGTCCATTACTACCTAAGAGCTCTAATGGCAGGGGCTTTTATTGTATTGACTTGGTTGACAAAATACCTCACCTGGTCCTTTCACGTAATACCATGTATGCAGCAGGATAGCAATGATGTAATCACTTTATTTTGGGCCTCTTGAAACAAGTCATTAAGACTCAAAGGTTCATTCACTACAAATGATACCCAAATGGAAGCCTGTTTAGCTTGGAAAACAAGCATTTTATAAATCAACCGATCAAATGCATTTATTAAGTGACTACTATGTTCCAGGCACTGTGCTAAATGCTGGGGATACAAAAAGAGGCAAAAGACAGTCCCTGCCCTCAGGAAGCTTATAATTGAACTGGGGAGATATCATGCAAATATATACAAAGCAAGCTCTCTCTCTCTATACACACACACACACACACACACACGTATATATGTGTAAAATATATACATATGTGTAACATATACGTGTGTGTGTGTGTGTATGAAATAATTTAGAGAGGAAAGGTACTGGGATTAAGAGGGGTTGGGTGAAAGATTCCTGTAGAAGATGGGATTTTAGTTGGGACTTAAAGGAAGTCAAGGAGGTCAGTGAGGGAATGCCCAGAATTGGGAGATGGAGTGTCTTGTCCATGGATCAGCCAGAAAGCCAGTGTTACTGGAACAAAGAGTACTTGTTGGAGAGTGAGGTGAAAGAAGACTGGAAAGGTAGGGGAGGGGCTATGTTATGAAGGGCTTTGAATGCCAAACAGAACATTTTCTATTTGCTCCTGGAGGCAATAGAAGCCACTGGAGTTTATTGAGTAGAAGGGTGACGTGGTCAAGCCTACGTTTTAGGAAAATCACTTGAGTGGTAGAATGGAGAATGGATTGGAGTGGGGAGAGACAGGCAGACACATGGCAGGCTATTGCAATAATTAAGGCTGTTAGCTAAGCTATTATTCACTGATGTGCAAGCCTCTCTTAGAATTCCCACCCCCACCCTAGAGGCATGCAGAAGAGGAAGAAGGCACAAGTAGGGTGGGCAGCTGACACAGAGCAGGGTTGGATGCAAGGAGAACTAATTTTGCCAAACTCTAACAATTGGTGGTTTCCTTAATCTCCATGATGTTACACCAGCCAAAGAAAACTCAAAGATCCTTTCCTGGATTTGAAATGATCCTCGATACAGTCACCTCAATCCTTTATTGAGAATACCTACTTACAGCCTCATCCCCCACCCCTTCCACACTGCCCTATTTCTCTTCCCAGTAAACAAACCCCTCCTAATTACCTTGACAAATTTCTGTTGGAGGAATTTGTGTTTTCTCAATGACCCAGCAGATTACTTCACTATCAAAAACTCCTATAGCTTTCGCTGGGTTCCATCTAGGATTAAGATACTGATGTGCCTACAGGAGCCTAGGGTACTGTGCCACTCCCTGCTCTGACCGGATTCAGCTCTGGGGAGCCAGTAGCACTAGCCCAGGGAAAGGTATAAATACTGGTCCCAGGGCATGTCTGTCATCATGTATTTGTTCATTCACTCAACAAACATTTATTTAAGACTTACTCCACGTCAGGCACTGTATTGAGTCATGGAAATACAAAGATGAAAACAAAACAGTTTG